ATTGTAACAATGTTAGTTAGAACACTTGGCTTGTAACAATATCAATTAGAACGTTTAGCTTGTAACAGTGTCAGTTAGAACATTTAGCTTGTAACAGTGTCAGTTAGAACATGTAGCTTGTAACAATGTCTGTTAGAACAATTGGCTTGTAACAATGTCAGTTAGAACGTTTGGCTTGTAACAATGTCAGTTAGAATCCTTGGCTTGTAACAATGTCAGTTAGAACGCTTGAATTGTAACAATGTTAGTTAAAACACTTGGCTTGTAACAATATCAGTTAGAAAGTTTAGCTTGTAACAGTGTCAGTTAGAACATTTAGCTTGTAACAGTGTCAGTTAGAACATTTAGCTTGTAACAGTGTCAGTTAGAACATTTAACTTGTAACATTGTCAGTTGGAACGATTGGCTTGTAACAATGTCAGTTAGTACGCTTGGCTTGTAACAATGTTGGTTAGAACAATTGGCTTGCAACAATATTATTTAGAACATTTAACTTGCGATAATATTAATAGAAAGCCTGGCTTTTAACAATGCCAGTTTTATGCTTCCACATGTCTTCCAGTATCTATGAAAAAGTCTAGTGTATTATATTCTTCCCATAATAAATCAGTGGGGTATCTCTCATTGTATTTCGAAGCGATTTCTGGAAATAACACTGGACATAGCAGAACTAGCATTAAGCGAGAACATATTAATTTTATTAAGTTATAAAGATATCTTTCATATCGGAAACTCCTCATTCGCTTGCTTCTGTACACATTATTGTTATTTTTTTCTGTTTGATAATGAAAAAAAGTAATATCAAACATTGTCCAAGGATGCTGGATAGAGTTAACGTTTTGATTGATTCATGGTCATCAGTTTAGTTTTATCCTAATTAGAAAGCCCATCTTGTTTCGAATTTCTGTTGCTAAAACACCACGTCCGGTTAATGGTCTAATTTCGACAAGCCGATGTTCTGTTTCTTATGTTTTCTTGTTTCCATTAAGACTCATTTACCCATGTTGCTTAATGGGTTGAGCTTAATGGTTCATAGATGGTAGCACATTATGGCACCATAGCTATCGAGATATAGCTAGTAGGAATGAATCCTTGTAGGTTATCATGGCAATGGCATGTGAGCCACAAGCAGTATGTCTACAGCTACTAGCATATATAATATGTGTAGTGTTAGGATATGTGTATATGGTAGTTTACTGTGTAAATAAAAAGATGTATGAGGTGGTGCATAAGTATATGGATGCTACATAAAGTCATTCTTCAATGTGGTATAATGAATGAGTCAGTTACCCTGAGAAAACAACTATCATGTAAAATATGAATGCAAATAGGATTTGATCTAGATGTTTTAGAATTTTAAGTATTAAGTTAAAATCAAACTGATGTTTTTATTCATGTCAGAGTAAGAATGTTTCAGTTTTGATATTGAAGTGTTCAGCAGATAGTGAATTTTCATGAAAGAGATAAGAATGATGGCTAGTATCACACTAAATTAAAAAAATATATTGTTTTTAGAAGTAGGAGCAACTAATACTTATGATTGGATTAAATTGAAATATTTGTGAGTAGGCACAAGTATCTGTAATTATCTGAAATTCACAAACAGTAGCTCATGTCGTATCTAAAGTACACCTGATGCAGATGATGAATGAATACTTAGAGACAAAAAGTAACAGCCATGCAGTAGTAATGCATTATTGTTGCCTTTAGCTGTGCTAAATCTGTATCTGAAAGGAAACAAAATGTTGGGATTAATGAATTGCCACGATCAGAAGCGTGAGATTATGCATAGGCCCATTTTGGTTATTTGTGTTGGAAGTTAGGGACCAGAATTTGCAGTCATGCCCTCCCCTCTTCCTTTCTGAACCCGTTTGTATAACAACCAGACATTAATGAAAATAATATGACTAGGTTTCAGGTGAGCTGTTATCATGGCAGAGGATAGAACAGTTGGATGTAGGTCGAGTGCAAGTCCTGATTAACACCTGGAACCTGACACAGGTGAAAGGGATAGATTTTCTAAAGAAAATATTAATTTGAGTACAGGCAAGCCTGTAGAAATGGCACTTGGCCATGCCAGTAATTCTGAAATTGTTTCAAAAAGAAAATTTTTAATTTTAGAGCAATAGATTGCTCTAGCTGGACCATTATAATTTTAACCTTTATGTTTAGCCAAACTTTTGACCAATCAGGATTCGTTTGACATTACATTTCAGTCCTGAATTTATTATTTAAGATCCACATTTTAACCTTTCTGGTTATGTTTTTTCTGATAACCTTTAGGTAAGAGTTGTATTTTGCCAGCCCTAAAAGCCACTATCAAACATTTAGAGTAAATATGCATAAAATTATATATTTGAAGACTGCCAAGACGTTTCCAATAAATCATCAATCTCAAGACTTCAGAAGCTAACCTAATATTCATTCAGATAGAGTGAGATCCAATGAATAAAGATGAGTTTCTGGCCAACTTTTCAGACATTCAAACTCTGACAGAAGCTATGGATGGACTGGCCCTGAAGTTTCCAAAGGATTCAACACTGCAGATAACATAAGACCAGACTGTAGCCACAGACCTGAGTGAAGAAACACCGAAACAGACTGCCACCAACCAGCCATCCCACTATTATCTTGTCTAGTTTGCAAGCAGCCCAGCCGAGGAAGTCCACTATGGAGTCTACAGTAGCCCTCTGTCAAGAGGGAGGTTGACTGAGTTTACAGGAGCTATTCCCAGAATTCTGAATAGTTTATTAATGGGTGCCAGGTGGTAAAATTTGGTACTTATGCTAAGTGCAACACATCCTGAAACCCAAGATAACCTTCCTAGAACTCAGATCTTCACATTATAAACAATTCACGCTGTAATTATTGTCCAAACATTTATGGAGAGAGTGATTTCACAGTGTTGGAAGTCATTGTGGTGGCTTATGTACTGGTTGCAATACCCCTTCTGCCCATCAAAGATCCTGGACACAAACTGGAGACTACTATAAGAAGAGTCACTGATATGGCCCAACTGGAATGAAAGAACCCATTTACTCTTAAGCAGATATTGATATTAAAGCACAATTGAGTAAACAGGGACATGGAGACTATAACTGAGAGGAAAACCCTCTCCTAAGGCATAGGAATATTTCTTAACACCTGGAGGAAGTGACATGACATCTTTAGGCCAGTTTGGTACAGACTCAGAAAACCTTCATGAAAGTCCAAGAAATCATATGTCAGATGTTCCTGGGTAACTGAAATTGAACCACTGTGCTGGAGGATCTGCTGTCAAACCTCTAGTAAAGGTAGGAATAATTGTTTTGTTTTGTTGGTGTATATATGTAATTATTGAAATTTATTTTATTTGTTTATTCTGGTTTTATACATTGTCATGTATGTAAATTTTGTAATTCAAATATGCTTGTATATACACTATAAATGCATGTAAGAGCCATTTCCATTATCATAACTGAAATGTTTTTCATTGTGTTATATTTATTGTTAATGTGTTTGTTCTTGTATTTTTTTAAGTTTCTATTGACTTTTTTATATAAAGAGTTTTTTATGCAAATGTTTTTGTGAGTAAAGGGCTTATTATCTGTGTATTATACATTTTACATATGGGCATGCTTTATTTTCATTCACGCTTTATTATGTTCAAGGAATCATCTCGTAATTGCTTTGTATAGTATATAGTTTGTGTTCATTTTCTGTTTTAATGTGTAATATTCTATATTGTGTAAAGTAATATATCCTATTGCATTTTTTGTAATTTAGTGTAAATGATTTGCAAGGGTGAAATTAAGTTATATCGATTTCATGACTAGTTGTATATGGAATATTTTAAGTTAGGGATGGTCAAATCAGTATGAATAAAAAGTGGATAGACGAAGTGTTACATGAAAGCTTACCATATTATTCCTACCCCCTTTAGTTCGTGTATAAAAGTTTTCAAATTTCTTGCACATATTTAAAAAATGTTCTTAGTATAGAAAGACATTTGTGGGACTACTACATTTCTTTAACCCTAATTACTCATGAAACAAGATCATTCAATCAGAGTATCACATATGCTTTCTCGTGGAAAAATTCATGGAAAAAAGAGAATATTTCATAGAAATAGACAGTAATAATTTCCCTGGCAAGTCAGGTGATACCTCATCTCTTCTTTTATAGTGAGAGTAATTTTCAGTCACATGGGTAGCGCATGTGCCTTGAAAATAATGGCATTCTTCTATTACAGATATAATGCCATTCTTTCTCAATTTCGAATATGATTAGATTAATATTCAAAAAATATGATTGACTTTATTGAGACTGAACATAGAAACTGATTTGGTAGCTCTCCAGTAAAGATGCACCAAATTGTTGTTTCTTAGCAATACAGATTGTTCCACTCTCCTTCTTTGTTTTAAACTTAGTTGAGGTCAGGGAATTATTATTTTGCTCTATAAAACATTTTTGTCATACTCTCCTGTCATTCTGTGGCTCCTACCTGATTATTCGAAAGGAGATGCTTTTTCATTTGTGCAGTTACAAATTTAATTTGTAGAATTCCATTTTAGTTCGTTATACTTCACAATATTATATCTACTTGAGTAATAATTGATACTAAAAATCACGACCCATCTTCTTCCTTAATTTTCCTTGGCCTCCTTAATATACAGTTAACGTATCAAATACAGTAACAAGTGCTCAGCTGAATAAGAAAGCTGAACTCTCATTCTGTTTTTAAAATTTGTTTTACAACAACACTTCGTTTATGCAGACACTTCTTTTGAAGATGCAAGACATAATAAATCTATCATTGATTAAGACACCCTCGATAGCCAATCAAGGAAAGGAAAGTACTTTCCGCACTAGCGACTGGTCAATTATGATGTTTAGTACGTTTGTAGGCATAAAGAAGAAACTTAATTAGTAAATTTCAGAAAGCAAACGGAGGTTATTATTTCTTGACTGTATCATTTAATACTCTTTACTACTTACTTCAGCATTTCCAGAAACAGGGGTTGGACAAAATAACGGAAACGCCTAACTTTTTTAACTCTTAAGTTTTGGTGTTTCTATGGGGGGTGGGGGGGGGAGAAATGCAGTCATATGATAATTTACCTATGCATTAAATTATTCTTTATATGTTATTGATTTGTCTGTATACAAATTGTATCTTATTATTTTTACAGAGAAAGATTTTAAAATGTCAAGGTAGAAAGGTCTGTCAGAATTTCAAAGAGGCATGGTGGTAGACGAACTTCTAGTCTGATTCTCGGTAACCTGAACACTTAAGGTAATGTATACTGAAGAACGGTGTCAGTGAACTGAACACTTAAAGTAATGTATATTGAAAAACGGTGTCAGTGACATGAACACTTAAAGTAATGTATACTGAAAAACGGTGTCAGTGACATGAACACTTAAGATAATGTATACTGAAGAACGGTGTCAGTGAACTGAACACTTAAAGTAATGTATACTGAAAAACTGTGTCAGTGACCTGAACACTTAAAATAATGTATACTGAAGAACGGTGTCAAAAGTAATGTCAGTTTGGATGTCGAAAAGTAAAGCCACATCAGTAAGGTGACAGATCGTGAAGACGAGCATTAACACAAGTAGTGAGATAGAAACAAAAGACTAGAGCGTCAAAATGTGCCCAGAATTCAACACAAGTATTGAGATGGAAACAAAAGATTACAGCGTCAAAATGTGCCCAGAATTCAACACAAGTAATGAGATGGAAACAAAAGACTACAGTGTCAAAATGTGCCCAGAATTCAACACAAGTAGTGAGATGGAAACAAACGATTACAGGGTCAAAATGTGCCCAGAATTCAACACAAGTAGTGAGATAGAAACAAAAGACTACAGACGTCAAAATGTGCCCAGAATTCAACACAAGTAGTGAAATAGAAACAAAAGACTACACCGTCAAAATGTGCCCAGAATTCAACTCAAGTAGTGAGATGAAAACAAAAGATTACAGTGTCAAAATGTGCCCAGATTTCAACATATCCTAAACCAACAGATCTCTGTCAAAACAACTCGAAGAAAACAGCAAAATGTTGATTGCCATGGTAGTTCTGTTATTTGGGGCTTTAATAGCACCAAAAAATACAAGATTCAGTGTAAAGCTATGTCAAGAACATAAAAATTGGAATGAAGGCCAATCGAAGAATGTGGTTCGATCATATGATCTCATTAAATGTACTTGTTTCTAAGTGGTTAAAACTAGAAGAAGGTCACAACCCTGAATACCTTATGTCACCAGTTAAGCCTGGTGAGCCAATAAAACCCCCAAATTCAGTTTACCCTTGACCAATCAATACATCAACTTCTTATTATTGATGTAATGATTAAAGCTAACAATGATAGACGACTTATCCACCATCTGAATGTGAAGCCACCACACAGTGGAATCTGTTTAAACTATAATTAAGCCCATTCTCCTGCAGTAAAACAATTTATTGCTCTTTCACAAAACTCGAGGGTTAAATGCCTCAGCTCTGGCCCTTAAAATTGTAAAAAAACGTCCAGACATAACCATCAAAATCTTATTGAGTAATTGATATCCCGACACACTTTTACAGAAATCAAAGAAGTAAATAGAACACAGTCATACTAAACCAAACAAAAAAAAAACAAGTCTAAGTGATGCGTCCATTTTAATTGTACTATATATCTCCAACTCTATTAATAATAGAACTTATAATGTTATCAAAACGTGGTCTGAACATTAGAATTTGCGTTACACCAAGATTCAAATTTAAAATTATTCTTGTGATATCTGCATTCAAACCAACTGGTTATATTCTGTCCGTAATTGCAACCCTACTTGGCAGTTTCTGGAAGGTCAGTGCATAACACGCAACATTATTTACCAATTGACTTAAAAAATTAGCAAAAATATGTATATTGAAGTGTTATATAGGCCGATTCGTAAGTGTATAAAATTAACGTCCTAGGAATTGCTATATAAAAAGACAAAAGCCCACTTAAAATACTCAATCCATTAAAGTTTTCTAGTACACAACTGAAAACTTAAAAACAGATACTCTGCATGATTCGACATCAAAAAATGTAGTTTATTTTAAGGCCATTGATCGGTCTTACATTAGAGTTTTTAATTGTGTACTAAAAATACGTTGATCGTTTGAGTATTGTATTTGTATTTACACAAGTACCTTGAGTTTTAATAATTTAAAAGTCTACTTGTTTACATTCCAGTAAACATCATGCTTATAATAACACACAAGATGATATTCCTTTCATTACGAAAATCCTTTAGAAATTAAAACCCCAAATAATCGCCTTACTACAGATGGTTTGACCAACACTAAAAACTATTACTGAACACACAACTGTTTTTGGTGTAAATAGGAGCTGAGAATACGAACCTGATTAATTGTTCAATTTAATTATTTTTCCTATAATATAAGTATTACGTATATTTATATCTGTCCTTTTAACCGAAATTTTATTCTACACATTATTTCTTATTTTTTCTCCTACAGTTTTCTGCGATTTTGTAATAATAACCTATTTCACGTTTTTATATTTACTAATTAAACAGTATTACATCTACCAATGATTTTATTTTCTGGTATATTGTCTATTTTGGATAACATCAATGTAAATATGAACATGCGTGCTAGCTTATTAGTGATATGTATATAGGGACTAGGATTACAAACATTGACTATTTAGACTATTGCAAGCACATCTTTTGAAAGGCTAGGGTATGTCGTATTTTCTTATACTATATTTACAAAGAGTTTCTTTTCTAACAGTTTGTTTGCTTTTATTACGTGACCTAAATGATGGTTCGTGTACGCGTGATCGGCGCGTTTGTTTAAATATACAAGCGTTTGTTCCATTGTTTATTGTTATCTACATCCCTGTTCCATTCTGTTGTGTCTGATATAGGCCTAATGCCGAAACGTAACGTTTATTTTTTATTTTTTCAGATGGAAGAAAGCGACTATACAGTATAACTTATTGTTTGACAAAATAATAATATGTGTAGATGACGTGTTGAGCATCGTCGAAACATGTAGATTGTATTTGAAACTGTAGGTTAGACTCAAATAAAATGATTTTCAGTGAGTAACCAAAACAGTTTGTTATTTTTACTGTATTTATGATTTTACACAAGTGTACAAGAAGGATTTTATCCTCGGAAAAGCACAATCCACTTCAAATAGTGTTTAGTTGGAATAGTTTAAGGCCTATAATCTCACTAGAAATAGTAAAACCTTATTACATATTATATTCACACTGTGATGGACACTTTCTTCCTAAATAAAGCTGGTCTGTTTCACGAAAACAGTGCACCAATTCACAATGGTTTAAAGAACACGAGGAAGAGTCTGGGCATGTTAACATGACCACCACAGTCATCAGATTTAAAATTTTCGTTCAAAAATATTGTATTTTAATAGTAACTTTCTGGTATACGAATGCAGTTCTAAAGTTTATTTTCAAGTAACTCATAAGATCAAATATTAAGATTGTATTTCAGGTGATACTAAATTAAAATTAAGACTACATACGAAATAAGATAAATAAAATTATGTGTTCAGTGAAAACATTTTATATTTACAGTGAACATTTAGCAACTGAAAAGACGATTATTTCTATAAAGCATTTCTTATTGAGTAATTAAATCGTTGAAGATAAAGTTCAAATTGTACTAGTTGAAACAAAACTGGATGAATATATTGTAAAGCTTATTAGACCACATTTTGTTTATAGCCAGTGATTTTTTTTAAATACGTTCGTGTAATTACATGCGTTATTCCCAAAAATAGTGTTCATAAAGTAGCTCATGCCTTGAAGCAGAGACCATATTAGAATTAGCTGAGAATTGTTGTTTCGAGAAATGTTATCACTCTCAGTAGCACGTAGTCCTGGGTTAAAGAACAATATAATTGATGATAAAACTCAGTAGTTTGGTAGGTTATACATTATTATTGGAAGTTGGAATTTGGGATCAAATTTTGACCGTTCTCAAGTCTAACTTTTTTAGAAAAACATTAGATCAATACCATGCTAACTTCTTTTTTTTGGGTGGGGGGATACACAACTATTTGGGATTAATTTCGCAGTGTGGTATTTCTGGATAAGAATAATTGATCCACAGATATGATATATGCAATAATCGAGAAACCAGGGATTTATTTCTAAGAACGAAAGGAAAAGTGACCATTTGAGAGAAACTAAGCTAGATGTTTGACAAAAAATACGGTTCTTTATGTAAAGCTTAATATAGATACAAGAGATAAATCACACTAAGCATTGTCATAAGAAATTGATCTGAAGTCGCAAAAAAATGAAGCAGATATAATGTAATTTACCGTTTACATTTAAAATGGTAACTTGATGAAATATGCATAGATCTCGAGCTGTATTTTATAAGGCGAGACAGGACTCAATGTTCGTTTGTAATTATGCACAAAGCTACACAAGGGCTATCTGTGCTCTGCCCACCACGGGTATCGAAATCCGGTTT